TTTAACGTGCAGTAGCACTGCACAGTACATGGGCCTCTTGCATGTCGCCTCCATCGAAGTGCGAAAGTAGTGGCCGCGTGGTCGAACCAGTGACCTTTATGTCAGCAGTCAAGTACCGTAACAGCTACACCACCTTGGCGGACCAGTGCATAAACTTGCAAGCCCTGTCGTGTATTGTAAGGTTTTCAAGCCAAGCTGCTTTATATGCGGCACCGATTTCGCCGAAGGTGGTGTGTCGGGGTTCGCGAAACAACTCTGGCTCTGCGATCGTGCAGCAACGGTGCGAATGATTAGACGTGGTAGCCGAATTGACAATTGTACAACTGTTGGGGTTCCAAGAGAAGACGAACGCACGAGAAGCAGACAGAAAGTTGGATGCCCCGATGGCATTAGAAAAGTTCGCAGCTATGACGTGGCTGCAGAAAGGACAAGACCGGGTATAGATTGGCGGATCACGGGAGAGGCCTTTGTGGGCATATAGTCAGGCTGTTGTTGCTGTTGTTGTTGTTAACGATGATGATGATGATGATGATGATTATGATGATTATGATGATGATGATGATGCATGTATTGGCGTAGTCTTGGCTCTTGCGGTTTGGAACGCGCTTGTGGCTTTTCTTATGGCTGCGTTTGGTCTAATGTTTCGGACAAGAAACAGATCGTTATGAACCTCGTGAGCTTATTTGAATCGGTCATCCCCAAAGGGTCGACGTCGTGAAGTGAGAATACTGAGTTTTGTCTTGCGATGAAGAGCTGCGCAGGCCACAGAAAGCTGAAACAAGGGATACTGGGCAAATTCAAGTACTAACTACCCAACATATCCACGTGCCGGCTGAAGCGTCATCATTTGCAGTTTCCGTATACACTGGCGCCAGATTTTCCTCGAGTGGTCTATTAAGAAAGTATACGTGGCTGACGGGGTGTAAAGACGCTGGCTCTTTTAGAGCGCGGCGAATCGTGCTTCGGTAGCCGCGCAGAATTGCGTGTGTGTGTGTGTCGCTGAGAGCCTTTAAAGCGTGCCACGACGGCAGACAGCTAAACGTGATCGTCGGTAGCGAGGTGCGCATCTGGGCGAAGAATGGACGTCGACAGGTAACAGCAACAACAAAAAAAGTGCTGTAAGTAAAGAGAGAAAGAAAATACTGGAATGGGAGCATGCGAGAGCGACTGCTGTGCGAACCTAAAGAAAGTAATCGAAAAGAAGAAAAAAAAAACACGAGAGGGCAGAGCTCGCTGTTCAGTTCGTTCGTGCCACTGTGCGCGTCATGGCTCGTTAGCGGGTCGGCCACGCCCCCAAGCCACGCCCACGCACCTATGCGCAGGTAAGTACGCTCGCGCGACGCTTCGAGTGTTGGGCACGCACGCACGCTTTGCGCGGGAAGTTTGCGCGTGGCTGTTTGTATTTTGCGTGCGTATGAACACGCGCGACGCACGAGGAGCACACGTGGAGAGCTTGGCCGACTGTAAGCGAGGTCGAAGTAGGCGAGGATTTAATTAGTCTCTAGAATTACACTGTAGCGTGCGAGATGATTATGATTACGTGTTTTAAGAACAAATGTTGGATGATTTCGAGTGCGACGTAGGACTGTCACTGTCCGGGAGTGGCTGTAGATGTGTTTAGAAAACATTTATTTACGCAATGTGCAGAGCGTAAATTATGAGTGACAAATTAGTGTTCGGCAGCATACTAACATTATCACAATGGTAAATCGTCGAAACTGACTTTAGCACGAAGCGAATTCAGCAGATTTCCTGATACGTGACTGAAGTAAGGAAAAAAAAAAAAACGCCGGCCGCGGTGGTCTAGTGGTTAAGGTACTTGACTGCTGACCCGCAGATCGCGGGATCGAATCCCGACTTAGGCGGCTGCATTTCCGATGGAAGCAAAAATGCTGTATGCCCCTGTGCTCATATTTGGGTGCGCGTTAAAAACCTGGGGTGGTCGAAATTTCCGGAACCCTCCACTACGGCGTCTCTCAGTAACATACATGGTGATTTTGGGACATTAAATCCCACATATAAATCAACGCAATAAGGAATAAGTTAAACGGGTGGGTGCACATAACATTTGATTAGGTACAACCAGATCAGCTTTGTTGTAGGTTGTGTTTAGAAAATGTTGTTAACTATTTAGAGTACTTGTACTACATGGAGAGCAAAAAGCCATCCCGTTGGCCTCACATTTCATGAAGTCATGTCGACTGATTGTGTGTTTAGAAAAAGTGTTTAACAATTTACAGCACCTAATACTCTACTATGTGAGAGCAGAGAGCCGTCCGAATTTCTGGGAAACATTTGAAAGCCAAAGCTACGTTTGTAGCGCTGTGTTTAACGATTTTGAGTGTGTGTTTAGAAAAAGTGTTTAACCATTTCGAGTACTTCGTTCTCCGCTATGGGAGAGCAGCGAGCCGTCCCAATAACTCTACTCGAAAGTGTCCCATCTCCAGAGTATAGTGCTTTTTGTCTATTGATGGTCTATTTGCGCTGTGTATCCCATGGAGGAAAAACACATTTGTTGGGGGGGGGGGGGGGGTGCCTGGTTTACCACTGGCCATACCACTGGATGAAGGTTACAGTTTTATTAGTCAATAAAATTGGTAGGCGAGTCAGTCGTCGCAATCGAAGTTGTACGAAGACGCGCTACCGTCAGCATTATAACAAAGAAGTTCAGGCGTTGTGTGATTTTATCGAAGATTAGCGCACACTAACCATCTGTAACTAACATTACCAAGATTCAGCCATTCGCGGGTTCAAATCCCGGCTGCGGCGACTGCATTTCCGATGGAGGCGGAAATGTCGTAGGCCCGTGTGCTCAGATTTGGGTGCACGGTAAAGAACCCCAGGTGGTCAAAATTTCCGGAGCCCTCCACTACGGGGTCTCTCATAATCATATGGTGGTTTTTGGACATTAAACCGCACATATCAATCAATCAAATCAAATCAATCAAGATTCAGCCATCTCTATTAAACACTGGCCGGTTACATATGGTTCTAATAATGCACTATACCTACCCGTATGTGCGCAGTTATCAAAGGACAACAAGCAATCTTTATTTTTTTATAAACTTGGAAAATCAAAATAAAATCAATATAAATTGGGAAATTGGAAATTGGAATCAAATAAAATTGGAAAATCAATATAATATTGGAAAAGCATAAAGAAATAAACAAGTACAATCACTTGAGTCATTCATGTATACAGGCCTTTGTAGAGGTAAAAGAGAAGATCGTTCCTCAAGCAAAGCGAAATAAGACCTTCCCGCCTTTTTTCAATATCTACGTATGGCATCTATACACGCACATATTATACGATGTCTAACGTATCTACACGCGTGTAATCCAAGAACGGGAGTGTTTTCTAAAAAGACATGGCCCGTGCCGCGTTTAGGGAGTGCCGTTTCAGGCCTTGCACGTGGGTTTCTGCGATGCATTTTAACGCTAGGTGAGGCCAGGGTCTTAACCCGTGGTCCTTCAGCAGGTATCTACAGAGACGACACCTGATCCTTCTTTTGACGCGTAACGCCCCCCCCCCCTCCACCAACTTACCCCTCCCCCCTCACCCGTGGTCAGCCGCTGTTCAATAGAGCGGGCGTTGTTGCCCAACCCATGTTCGTCTCTGTGGTTTGTCAGCTTGTCCTGGAAATTACTTGTAAAGATCGATACGATATTATTTTTTTTATTCTTATGGCAGCTGGAAAAGTAAGGGAAGTCCATTCACTCTATACTTTAATCTTTTACGCCGACTATTTTTTTTTCTTTTTTTTAGCTATCTTTTCCAAATTCTGTCACCAGGTGCTAGAAGAAAGCGATTGAGATATACAGCGTGGGACACACCTTAAAAGAACACTCACTGCGACTCCATGGTTTGTTGAATAAATGGCACGTCTATCTTTGCTATATATTGCTTTCAATGGACATCTTTAGTATTTTCAATGATTCAAGGATTCTGTGCACTTGACACTTAGTGGACTACAAGAACTCTTAGTGGACTACAGTAGTTTTCAGGTGCGTTAGAAAAAAAAAAGAAATGTCAGAAAGTGTTTTATAGGTAGAGCACCACTCGCCACTGTGGTCCGGTCGTTACGGCGCTCGTCTGCGCGCCCGGAGGTCGCGGGATCGAATCCTGGGCCGCGGCGGTCGATTTTTCGATGGAGTCTGCAATTGCCGAGGCCCGTGTGCTTATACATTTAGATGCACGTTAAGTAAGCCCAGGTGGTCGAAGACTCCACCCCTGTGGCGTCTCTTTCATAATCGTGTGGCGGTTTTGGAACCCCGTCAATTGTTATTATCATCAGCGACGCCACGACCAGAGCAATAATTTGTTAAGAGAAATCGCAAGAATACCGCCACTGCTGCACGTGGTACCCTCCTGCAGCATCTTTACTCACAGTATTCGATGCTTGCACTAAGAATCTAGCTGGACTTGATTACAGCGGACATTTGTGCGACCGACTTGCTGGTTTACTGGTGGTCCAAGATGCCATGAATGCCTGAGGACTCGCACCATCGGCCTCGTCTTCCCCGCCTTGCCTTTCGAATCGTGATACACGCATACTCTCTGATCGAAAGAAGAGAATTAAAGGGCTGTTTTTTTTATTTGTTCCACACAAACTTTACAAAAACGAACATACAGTGAATTCAGTGAAGGTGTAGGAAGCGTACTTGCAGTCTTTTTTTAACTAAAATGTTGTAATGTTGGACAGTGCCAAGTTCCATCTCGTCCACATTGATTTCATGAAGTTTATATCGTAATAGTGCAATACAGTCAAAGGATTGCAAATGGCGTACTCTGTAAATTCCTTGGCTTCATTATGTGTTGGTTTTTATTAACACACACGGTATATATTACGGGCTGCACACAGTCTATTACAGACGGTATGTGCACGGACACATACGATGTACATGAGTAGATTTTTAAACATGCATAGTAGTGTCCTCAACTACGTACGTCTGTAACGTGACTAATACTTATCATTTGTACCCTGTTTTGTGCTTCGCAGACGATGACGACGCCTTTGTACCCAAGGATGCCGTCCTCAAAGCGTCGCCGACGCGCGAGGGTAAGTCTCGATTCCATTCTTTCGCCCGGCAGAGTAGTCCGAAAGCAGGGCCTATCTGCAATGCACGTCTGGCGTGATAAGATGCACGTGATAATAACGGCTGTGGCAGCTTGAGTGAAGCACCGATAGCCAAACTGTGTCCCGAAGTAATTATATCCGTTGTGACACGGGCGTTGCGCGGACGCACATGTCGTTTGGCTCTTCATTATCCCATTAAGCACATTCTATTGTGGTGTGAAGGCGTATCCGGCATTCCGCTTCTTGCTATAGTTGTCTAATTTTTTCTAACATATTTTTTAGATGCGAGGCACCTCTTGCTCGGGTTTATGTTCCGTGGCGTCGGCGTCCACACTTACACTTCACATGCGCTCCCCCCTCTCTCCGACGCAATGAGCGTCTGCTAACCTACGCTCAACCCCCCCTCCCCCTGTTCTCTTTGCATTCTTCTCACTCCCCATCTCCTCTATGCCTTCCTCTCCTATGTGTTTTGGCGGCTATTGATCATGCGTGTCCCCTGCTCCTTTCTCTCCGCTCTAACTCTCCTCCAATTCGTATCAATCACTGTATTGATGCGAAAAAAAATAAAGTAAAAAATGTTTCCCCTCAACGTGCAGTCGAACGTTTCGGGTGGTGGAGAGGGTGATGCGAGGGAGAAGTGTGCTGCGAGTGGGTGGAGGAGCAACACCACCTAGGTGTGTTGGGAGGAGCCGGTATCTGCAGCGGGTGATGGAGAGAGTGACATAAGCGTGCAGCTGTGACTTGACCTACTTGGCATCGTTCCAACAACTGCGCGGGGGGAACGTGGTTTGGTGCGTTGGCACGGAGACACAGACGGACAGCGTTACACCGGCTAGTAAACGAGCTGCTTCGTATCCAAAACCCTGACTGCTATAGCTCTGCACAACCGTTGACTGGTCACCTCGTATATGTGGGGACTGGATCTTGACCTCTAAGATAGTGCCAGTGGGAGATTTCTCCTGTGCCTTTTTGGACAATAAAAGTTCACAAGTGCGTGTTAACTAAAATCGGACTGTAGGTATGCGTGCCCAGTTGAGGACTGCTGTCTCTCATTACCCATGCATGAGCAGCGATTGGTAGATTCCAGTAGGAAACTACGGTTCATTACTGCGTGCTTTGCGCCTCGCCAGGTTTCTCTCCAGCGCGACGTCGTGATGAGCGCCAGCGTCAACGTCGTCGCCAGTGCAAGCGCTAGCACCCGTTACTTTGCATCTACACCTGGTGTCTTTTTTTTTTTTTGCGACCAATCTTTGCGGTACGCTTTCTTCTCTTTCGTCACTTCACATATATTTTTCTGCACTAAGTTCACCTTGGCCGTACACACTCGCACCCCGTCGCTATCTTTACGTCTCCACATACGTTTTTATGTGCTTCTTTTATAGCGCGTCCCAACCCTCCTCCCTTCCCATTCCTTCTAATGGCCAAGATGGGGTGACATTGCGGGGTCGCTGGACATCTGACCGCTCGACCGGACAGTGTCCGTAACCCCCATAAGCGACCCTCCAAGTGCAAAACGCTTTTCAAGCGGCGCGTTCCATGGCGTACTTTCTGTGTTTTTTAGGTGTGTTTTTTTTTCTTCCGTGACTCCTCGGTTGCGGAATCCGAGTGCGCCTTTCAGTACCGTGTTTCTTCTCAGTTCTTCTCGGGCTTGAAGTTGGACAGCTCGGCGCATTTGTGGACGAACATTCATTCATTCATTCATTCATTCATTCATTCATTCATTCATTCATTCATTCATTCATTTTAGTTTACTTTATACTCGATCGCACAAAGCTTTTAATAACAAATAATTTACCGTACGCGCTGTTGCGATTACCTTTGTGTGTATTTATAACAGTGTGATATTGCTACCCTGGTTTCCCAAGTTTTTTAACGCGACAGAGTGAAAGAGCTCGTTTCGCAGAAATTCTCGCGTCGGCGTGGCTTGGTTGTGAGCGAAGAATCATCACCTTAAGTGTCACTGAAAAATGGAGAACGATGCAAATAAAATAAATTATGAAAAAAATTCCTGAGTCATAGCGGGGACTGATCCAGGGTCGTTTGGGTCCGAGTGAACCCGGCCCGGTCGTATGTGTGGCAAGCGGATGTTCAAACACATGACCATGCGTCTGTTTTTTTTTTATGCCTTGCATGTCAAAACTGCTCACATTTCACATATTCGACAAAATACGACGGTGTCACAAAACACACCCACTGAATACAATGAAAATCTGCCAGCTCTAAGACGACTATTGCACACGGCAACACGTCTGATGTGGATTAAGCGAAAAGAGCTTCCACTGCGTGGAAAAGCAGGGAAAGTTGCGTGCATGATTATAAAAACACACGCGTCCTGCATACATGCTTGACAATGCAACTCGAAATATTGCTGTAACAATGTGTGATGCAGCGCCCCTTGCCAGCGGGTATCAGAACATGTGATTATCAGGATGGCTTCGCGGTTTAAAGCCGGTCACCCACTACGAAAGGCGCACGCGCTACTGCGCCTATTCGCTTAAGGCCACGTAATGGGTGCATAGCAAGTTCGAAAAGGTTTCACGCACTAAGTGTTTGAAGTGTGCGCTATGAACAGGTTATCGCTATTGCGTTCAACTCCTAAAGGCGAAGCTTTAAGGCCCCCTAATTTTTTTTTTGCTCCCTTACAGGTGTTAATGCTGCATCGGATGCCGATTCACTAAGAACCATCGCGATAATCTTAGAACCTGCCAATGCGATTACGCCCACAACGCAAACATTACCGATTCTTCTGGAACTTATCAGGCCGCTGTATCGATAACGCCGTAATATTCGGCGGCACATGCGTAAACGCCGACGCACATCATCGCTTGTCAGATTAGCGACGGCCGATGCTCCGTTTGCCGCTATCAGTGGCGATGCGTATGTATTGCTACAATCGGATCACAAGTCTTTCGGCCACAAGTTCGGCCAAATAAAGCTTTTTTTTTTTTTTGACACGCCGATCGTTGCTTTCGTCGATGTCACGACTACCTCGCAATACTAACACTGTCGCAATTATTATTTAGTTTTCGTTGGCGTTCTGATTGCGAGGCCTGAGATAAATGCGGTTATTGTGTTCCTCGAGGAATATTCCTTGGAACATCCGTGTGGGCGTCGTGGCGGAAGCTTCATTAGGTCGTACCGGGTCACGAGATCACTTTATATTGTCACCTGCTCGTATAATATGTATCGCCACCGACCGGTTTTGTGGTGGCCACTGCCTGCCGCGAACACCCCCACAGAAGGGAACAAATCTTATGGTCAGTACCGAGAATTGACCCACGGATACTGCCTCATCCCTCCCCTTCAGCATCAACCGCCCTGCAACCCCCCCCTACCACAATGCATGAATCCTTAGGGTGGGGGGGGGGGTAAGTACACGGGAAGGGGGTCTCCTAGTGGCCACTGCATGAAATACGGGCATGCTAGGGGGGGGGGGGGTCAAAGACGATGAGGAGGGTGAAGGTCAGGGTTGGGTGGAGTGGGAGTGGACGTGTTTGAAAGGTGCGTGGTGATCTGGGGCAAGGGTCACAAGGGGGAGGGGGAACATATTATCGCGCCCTGCCCTTCTTTCTTCGTTATTCTCGTTCAGTCCACAGCCCGAAGTGCCACCTGGACTCGCAAATATCGCCCCGTCGGACAGATCGCGAGAATCGCGAGAACGTGTAAGGAGCAAAAGAAACAAGAATAATAGTCTTCGCTACGTCCAGATGAGGCTTGGTCTGCATGGTGGGTCTTGGCCACTCCTGGTGCTGCCCCCTGTGTGAAGTAACTAAACTTACGGCCGGTGTGCGCAATGGATCCGCGCAAGATGTCCGGCTGGAGAAAGGAAACCATATCCCCGGGAGGCGAGTCCTCTGGTGGGCGAGCGTGTTTTTGTGTGGGCGCGCGGCGGTTCGTCTGATAACCTCTTCGCGCAGTGCCGCTCCGGAAATGCGTGCAGTTGGTGCGGAAGCCAAGGGAGTATCACTTTTTCCGAGACCAGTTTCTCTGTGACCAGCGTCCGGCTTGTGCGAGAGGTGATCGTAGCGTCATCTCTGGATCCTTCTCTTAGCGTGAACAATTCCTGATAGCCGGCTGCCAGCATATGCATTTCTGAATGTAACACGAATTCGGTAAAAACGCACCACTTTGAAGTGACACGTGTGATTTTAACCAGGTTGGAGACGGGAGGTGTGTAGAACGTTAAGAATGCGCTTGCAGCTCTCATGCAGTGCTTATACGGTATTTTTGTTGCTTTTATTAGGAATCACATTCCTAGTCAACTCTATATCATAGATTATGTAAAAAGGCATACACAGTATCCTATTCGACCCTGCACACATTTCAACCCTGCATGCAATACGAACAGCAGAGCATACACTGAAGTATATGTGGTCCCGCCTGCATTAAGACAGTGGACAGCATAGCACCATAGCGCACCGCTTACTAGACGAGGACAGAGCGGTACAGGCCGAGGCGCAAACACACAAGAACAAACATTGCCCCTCGGTTCGTTCAGGCAGTTCAGTCTCAGGGTGCCAACGGACCGACGGAGTGCGTGGTTGTCGACACTATTGTTGGCCGCAGCTTCTATACTTCGCGTTAACTATACAAGCTTCCACTCACGCTTGAATAGCACAATGGCTTAGCATGTGGTATGACCATGTTTGGCACCAATGCGGCGTCAATCTTTGCATATTTCTGCAGAAAAAGGCAGTTGCAGAGGACGACTCTGCGCTCTATAGTCATATATGATTCACTTTATACCAGCCCGAACAAGCAACATCCTATATAAGGACAGCGTGTGTTTCAGTGTGGCCACACTGAGTCGCCCAAAAGAGGGTTTGGAAGAGGAACTCGGAGTAAAACGAGACGAGAAACATAAAGATGGGAAGAAAAAAAAGGAGAGCTCGGCTGGGTGGCTTAATCTGCGCGTACTAAATGGAGCGAACAAGAGAAAGCCGCGAGCGCTCGGTGTCGTCAAGCGGATGAAATACGGCGCG